AGCCCCTGCTGGTCCCTGCCCCTCGTGTGCAGGCACATTCTCAATCCGCAGAGTTCATCTCTCTTCGAAACAACATTCTGGGCTTTTAGACACAGCAGGTTCCAAAGTTAACGGGAAGCCTGCACTCTCTTCCCAGCTCTGCCAGGGACTTGCTGTGTTTCTCCGCGGGATTCGACCCCCCTCTCTGGGCTTTCGTTGCGTCACCGTGAAAATGAGGATATTAGGTCCAGAGGGATTAGGTCCTTGGAGCCAAATTGAACGTCCTGAGTCTACGGCTCCAGGCCCGGGGGAGGCTGGGCCTCCCTTATTCCTTCGATGGCTGTATGTGGCAGGGTGGCCAAGAGCCTGGCCCGTCCCATTCAATCCCAGCCCAACCAAGAATTCACTGCGTGACCCGGGCCACTGCATTCATTCATTCATCCACTTACTCAATAGATGTTTACTGAGGGCTGACTATGTGCTGGGTGCTGTTTTAGGTACTTGGGACCCATCTATGGAGGCAGAAAACGAAACAAGTAAAACGCACGTGTGAGAAGGCAGTGAGCGCTCTGGCAGTGGGAGAGGGAGGGTGCAGGACACTACAACTTGCACAGGGTGGTCACGAAAGGCCTCCCTGAGAGGGAGACATGGGAGAATGCAGAGTTGGAAGGGCCAGACTTGGAGGAAGCACGTGAATATCTGGGGGAAAGCACCCCCGGCGGAAGGGACAGCCAGGGCAGAGGCGGGCTGAAGGAACAGCAAGATCAGGTGTCTGGAACAGAAGGAGCAAAGGAGAGGGGGGCAGGAGCCACGGTTAGCACGTTGGAGTGGGGGCAGATGGTGAGCACTTGCACTCTGAGATGTGACACCAACCGTGGGGTACGCCGAGCAGTGATGTGACTGGTATTTTAGTAAAATCGCTCTGGTTATGACGTTGAGAACAGATACATAGTCTCTCAATGCCTCAGTTATGAAGTGGGGATAGTATCCTCCAAATGCCTCAGGAGATCACTGTAAGGACAGAACGAGGCAGTGCTTAGAAAGTACTGGGGACAGTCACCCGGTGAGCATGCCACAAATGCTAGTGATTGCTGCTCCTCTAAGGGGACCCACAGGCCCGCCCCCCCCCCAGGAGGAAGTGGGCGGGGTCACAGCACACCCAGACAGTTTGGGGGAGCCAGAACAGGGACCCTGCCTCCTCCTGGCCAGCACCTCCCCCTGGCTAGGGATGCTGAGCATGGCAGAGGAGGCTGAACTTGACCCTGTTCCGAAACAGATTCGCCACTTGAGAGAGAGAGGCATGGAATTCCTGGATGTCCCATCCACGTACTACAAACAGCTGCGGGAGAAGCTCAAGTCGGCCAAGATCCGGGTGAAGGAGAGCCTTGATGCCCTGGAGGTGAGGCTGGAGCAGGCTCCCGGGTCAGCTGGGAGAACGCGTCGAGTTCCATCTCGCCTCACAAATTCTGTCCAAAGCCCTACCCTGCGCCAGGCACCCAGACACGGAGGGAAGCCAGACCAGGCCCCTGCTGTCATGGGACTTGCGTTCTAGTGCGGAAACAGATGACAAGGACATAGCACAGACACCATCAGAGAGCGAGGGAGTCGGAACGCACAGGAAGTTAAAACAGGCTGTGACAGAGAGGGACCTGGACCACTTTACAGGAGGTAGTCAGGGAAAGTGTCTCTGAGGACGTGCCATTTCCGGGAAATCTAGATGATGAGAAGGAGTTGGCCATGTCAAAGGCCGGGGAAAGAGCAGTCCTGGCAGAGGGAACAGCAGTGCAAAGGTCCTGAGGCAGGAGCTGGCTCCAAGTGCCCGAGGAACAGAAAGACTAGAGCAGATGAAAGGACGCACGGCCTAGGTCACAGGGGTAGGCTATTCAGGACTTTGGATTTTGTACTTCTGTGGCCAAAAATCATAGTAGCTTTTTTGGGGGTTTCTAATCATTTTAGTAATATACTAGAGGCCCAGTGCATGAAATTCGTGCAGGGTAGGATCTCTAGTGGCTGCAGACTGGGGCCGGGGCCTCCCTTCCCCTGGCTGCCTGCCGTCCCTGGCCTGGGCCTTCCTTCGCACCCGCACCCGACTTGGCCAGGCACCACCATCTCTCAAGGGGAACCCAGCCAGCCAGCAACACCGGCCGTGTTCTGCACCGCCCCCTGGTGGTCAGTGCACGTCTAACTCCCTGTCTGTCGGGAAGATGGATTGTGAAGAGGCAAAAGCAGAAGCAGGGAGAACTCTGTGGAGGCTATTCGGGTGGTCCAGGCCGGCCACGATGCAATCGGGGATCTCTTTAATTTTTATTTACTTATTTGTTTTGAGAGGATCTATTTTGAGCTGTCTGGAACTGCTGGAGACACAGGTCTTTTCTTGGCTGAGGGGGTGCAGGAGCTCCTTCCTATGGACTCTCTAAGGATCCCATGTGCCGGGCAGGGGGGCCTCCCCCTCATCCTGCCCTCTGTCTCCAACCTAGGAGCTGAAAATCCTGGTGGACTACGACGAAAACGGCTACCTCTTACAGATCTTCACCAAGCCCATGCAGGACCGGCCCACGCTCTTCCTGGAGGTCATTCAGCGCCACAACCACCAGGTAGGTGGCACCCGGCCCCAGCGAGCCCGAGGGGCGGGCATGCAGGTCAGCCTGGCTGGCTTTCCGGACTCGCAACTCACCTCCTCTCTCCCGCTGCAGGGTTTTGGAGCCGGCAACTTCAATGCACTGTTCAAGGCGTTCGAGGAGGAGCAGAACCTGCGGGGCAACCTCACAGACCTGGAGCCCAACGGAGTGATCCGGGGCATGTAGACCCGCGAGTCCCGCCTGAGCTGCCGAGGCCCCGCCCACCTGCCAGCGCACGGCGGGCCACGCCCCCTAGCTCTGGAACACGCCCACCCCACCGTCTCTGAACAGCAAGCCCTTCCTACTGGCCATTCCCTCTAGATCCCGCCCACCAGCTCGTTGGGACCCCCCCAAGGTTCCGCCCACCCCCTGACCACGCCCTCGTCCAGGGTAATAAAGCGGACAGGGATCCAATGCGGTGTCTTGGTGTCTGTGTGGGAGGCCAGCGCAGTGACGCCGTTTGGCCGCCAGGGGGCAGCAGCGCTGCAGGAGGCGTCCGTGTTAGGGGTTGGGTGCCCCGCGGGAGCCGAGGCGCCAGGTGCAAGCGCTTTGCTAACAGGACCGCGCGGTCATGGGTAACTCTGGAACCCGGCGGGCAAGAGGGCTTACGCTCTAGAGGGGAAGGCAGTATCGTTTCCTGAAGTGGTAAATGCTATCAAGAAAATAAAGCAGGGCCCTAACCGGTTTGGCTCAGTGGACTGAAAGGTCCCAGGTTCGATTCCGGTCAAGGGCATGTACCTTGGTTGCGGGCACATCCCCAGTAGGGGGTGTGCAGGAGGCAGCTGGTCGATGTTTCTCTCTCATCGATGTTTCTAACTCTCTAACCCTCTCCCTTCCTCTCTGTAAAAAATCAATAAAATATATTTTAAAAAAGAAAGAAAGAAAATAAAGCAGGGCCCGGCTGGCGTGGCTCCGTCGTTGAATGTCGACCTATGAACCAGGAGGTGAGGGTTCCATTCCCTGTCAGGGCACAGGCCCGGGTTGCAGGCTTCATCCCCAGTGTGGGGAATGCAGGAGGCAGCCGATCAATGATTATCTCTCATCATTGATACTTCTATCCCTCCCTCTCCCTTCCTCTCTGAAATCAATAAAAA